TGGCAGCTTTATCCCTGTTCTAGCTTGGTGCACTGAGCATGGCCCTGGCTCAGTCCAGCCCCCATAGCAGCCATGTGGACTGTGTGCTGTTGCTACGGGGCCAGGCTCAGGCCATGTTCAGTGCCCCAGGCTGCAGTGTGCAAGCAACCTACTGGTGCAGATCAAGAGTAATGGTGGGGTTTGGGAAAGGGGAAGGTGGGGGAGCAGAGGCTGTGTGGAGGGAGGAGATGGTGGAGGGAGCAGGGTAGCAGACAGCAGCTGTGGCTCTGGTCCTGACCCTGGGTAGGAGCTGGGGCCTGAGCTACAGCAGCCACTTTCCCCGCACCCTGCCATCATACACAGTTTTAAGATGGCCTCTCCCTCCCCTGTGTTAAATGTGGGGGGGAAACCTTGTCTTGAAATTGAGTAAATCGTTACCAGAATTTAAGCTATTACATTTATATGCTGCCCTTTTCAACCTAGGCTCAGGGTGACTTACAATAAGAAAACAAAACATAAGAAGCAGGAAAACACAAGAGAAGGAAACAACTTAGAAAGCAAGTAGATCAAAATAAAAACAGAACTCGCCCCTCCTGCCCCCAAGCAATATTATCGTCTAGCTTTGTTTGCTAAACACCTGTCCAAATAAGAAGGGCTTACGGTACTTTTGGAAGATGTTCAGGGTCAGGCACTTATGGAGCTTGGTTCAGAGGAGATGGAGCCTGGTGTCATCAGTATACTGATATGCAGATCTAAACTTAGGTGCCAGTCTTGTCCAACAGCCTCATATCCAAGTTGAACAGGATGGAGCCCTGGGAGGCCCCACAGGCCAGGTCTGATGGGGATAATGAACACATGTCCATCACTACCCTGTGGGACCTCTGTGCTAGGAAAAAGTGGAACCAATTTAGAGTGATCCTGTGAATACCCACCAGGTCATGTACATGTTTTATCAGAACTTCATGGTCACTTGTATCAAAGGCTGTCGAAAGATCTAGTAAAATTAGCAGAGTACAGTTTTCCCTGTTGATCTCCAGTCAAAGAACACTGACCAGGACTACCAGCACAGTGTTTGAACTTTACCCAAGGTGAAGGCCAAATTGACAAGAGTCCAGAAATCTGAGGGGAATCAGGTTCACTTAGAGCTGTCATTCAGTGACCTTCCCCAAAATAGTTGAAAACAGGCTGATAACTGTCTGGGGAGTCGGCATCAAGCACTGGTTTCTTGAGTAGGGTTTGGACTATCGTAGACTTAAGAATATCAGGCACCCTGCCCTCCCAAAGGCAAGAAATATGGTGGTAATCTCAGCACGTGACTCTAAAATAGTGACCGTGCATTTGATCAGTTGTTGCTGATCATCCATGGTTTGCATTATGAGCAGATCTCACGACTCAGCTTTTATTTCATGGGTACAGAAAACAACTCTTTTTGTAGCAGCTTGCTGAACACCTGCAGTACCTGCCAGCTTTTTTGTTTGACTGTTTCTAACTCCTCACTAGCCTTGTTTTGCTGCTATGGTATTTGTAGTTCTGAAAATATAGAATAATTCAGCATCCAGTTTCTAAAATAGATGGGAAGACCCTGTTGATGTATCCAGTGACTGTGTTTTTGGTGATGAAATGGTACTCGGACTGAAAACTCACAAAGTAAATAATGAGATGAATCAAAGGAAACTAGAAGTTTAAAAAAATGGTGTGAGAAGAAATAATGATGGGATGAGGCAGAGTATTATTGCCTCTGTTCCACAGTGCCCTTCAGTAGACTCCCACAGCGAATGCAGTGTGCCGCTGCATGGAGACATAATGATGTCTGCCTATTAGGCAGCACATATTTAGCTATTGCAACCACTCACGGTGGAGATGCTGTACCTGGGCTAAGCAGTAAGGTATTCAGGCGGCTTGGCAAAATGTCAGTGTTGACACCTGTATACTAGCACAAATCCTACTGCTGTATTTACTTGATTAGCAGACAAGACTTTTTTTCCCCATTTAGCATGGGGGAAAAATGCCCCTTGCCTTAGAACAGAGTGAGCTGGCAAGTGGCAGGCAGCTGCTGCAGCTCCAGCCCCAACCTAAGTTTGGAGCTGGAGCCAGAGCAACAGCAGCTGCCTGCCCCCTGTTGCCTCTGCATGCCCCAGACTGCTTCTCTGCAGCCCCCAGTCTCACCCCCACCACACACACTTTTTCCCTTCTGCCACATTCCTTGCCTTCTATTTGCACTGGCAGACTCTGTCCTTGCTGTGGCCTGGAGCACAGAGCACCTGCTCCAGCCTGGATGCGTAGCAGCAGTGCCAGCCCCATGCCACTGCTACACGGCCAGGCTGTAGTCATGCTCCATGCCTCTGGCTGCAGTGGGGATGGAGTCTGCTGGCATGGAGCAGAAGTAAGAGCGGGGAGGGAGAAGGCGGGGTGGGGGGGAACTGGGAGGGGTGATGTGGACCCAAGGCTGTGGGTGGCAGAAGCAGCATGGAGAGGGGAAGTTGTGGGGAGGGGACAGGGGAAAGGGGTATCTGAGGGCCTGAGGCTGTGTGTGGGGAGGGGGGGCAAGCTGCCTGCCTCTCACTGTCTTCCCCTTACCACATGCCCCCCAATTGCTTGTCCCCCACTGCTCCCTCTGCTGCCTGCCCCCTTACTGCTCCCCACAGCCTGTCATACCTCCCACCCCCTACTGCCTGTCCCATACTGCCCCCCATGCCCCTTACTGCCTCCTCTACCTCCTGCCTTACCACGTGCCCCTTATTGCCTCCTCCACTGTCTGTCCCTTCACTGCCTGCCCCATTACTGCTCTCCCATCACCTCTCTCCCCACTGCCTGCAATAGTGGGAGGGATGAATTAAAGACAATCCTCCAATAATTAGATTCCATACATGGACAATTAAAATAAATGTATTAATTTTCCATGTATGGAATCTAATTATTGGGGGGTCATCTTAAATTCAGGGTTGTCTTGTATTCAGACAAATACCGTAATAAAACTTTATAGTGTAGATTTGTCTATTATGTACACAGTTATACCACTGTAGCTTATTTGCACATATGAAGGGGAGTAGACTCTACTATTATTGTTATGTCCAAATTAGATATTGGATTAGTATGACTATTCCAGGAACTAAATAATTATACTATAAGCATTCTGTTAATTCTTTAGAACGCCTTTTTTCCCCCTTCACTGTTATAAAAGCTTTTCCCTGGTGAAAAGGTCATGAAACATTTCCAAAGATTAAAGGATGAATTTCATATCTAATATATTACAATTTTATTACAGCCACTTAGCTTACACAAACTTCTTTTTCAAAAAATCAACAGATACCTGGCATTTCTGTGCTGTATTTTATAAATAGAGCTTATTTTCTTGTGAGGCTAAGTGATTGTTAAATCTATAAAGTAGGAGTTGAGGAGAGTATTTTGCAATGACACAGCAGCTTTTCAGCTATCACATTACTTTACAGACATTAACTAAGTCTCTAAGCACAAAGCTGAGTTAAACTGAGGGCCGGGGAGCTTTAAATGATTTGGGAAAGGTGTTGCAGTGACAATTATGAATTAAACCTGCAGTAGGAATCCCGATTTACTTTTCATTGGTGAAGAATGCAAAAGGGGACAACTTATTTCTTTCCATATTCTCTTTGAATGCAGCCCAGTGGTTCCCATGTGATCCAAACTGTATTGTATTGAAGCTTAGATAGTGACTTGGTTGTAGTTGTGCAACTTTTCTTAATATAGAAGGCCAAGTTTTGACAGCTTGCTGCATAAATTCTGTAAAAATATCTTATGGCTGATATTTCTTCTGTTTGATTGTGAGCCTTCCTATAAATCAGACTTTAATGTCAACCTGGACTTCCTCACATAGTTTGCTGCCTCAAAGCTTGGTGGAAGCAAATAGCTTCTGATCTTTCTCTGCTCAAAGGTGAGTGACCTGGAGCTCGGGCATAATGGAGCCTAACAGAGACTGTGGTCCATATTTGTTGATCCAATAGCAAGCTGCATATCTGTTGTGGTATAGGCTGTTGGGTTTGTTGGCATCACAACAGATTTGCAGATTTACCTAGTTATGGAGAGGCCAGGTAGAGGCCCCAAGCCCTTGAAAAGTGGAATGTATCTTTTTTGTTTCTATGCAATGGACTCCAAGGAAAGATGCACTGTATTTACATTGTTACATCCTTAGTTAAAGCGCTAACTTTTCAACTCTGACAACCATGACAAAACTTCCAGATTTGCCACACACAGCTGGATGAAAAAAATTTTAAAATAAATTCTAAAGAGGTGAAATGATCAAAGCTGCTGCCATCTAGCCTCTGGGAAATAGCTGTGTCTGAACATCAGTTGCTTGGAACTGAGCAGTAAAAGATGGCATCTGACCGGTAATGACAGATATTACCAAGGCTTAGTAGTCACTGCACCATGCTGAGTCCACAACTCCTCACTGTGGAGGACCCACATTGAACAGCGGCAATATAATACTATCAGAGTTCCACATCTGTTAAGTCTGTCATTCTTTGCTCAGAAGTTCACCGAGCGTTGTTTCCTCTTCAGAATTCTTCAGCTGTGCTGATGATGCACAAGAAAACTTACGGTTTTAATTTATAACCTGTCCACTCTTGATCGTGTCTGGCATTAGGTTTTCCAGATTTTAACTTCTGTCTTGTATTACACTATGAATTCAGTCCAATAGAAAATTATATTGCATATAACTGAAGTGTACGCATGATTGACTTTTAATGTAGGTGTATATGATCGGCTGATTTTCATTAAAATTGAGTGCTGTAACAATTTTTTTGACCTAAAGAAGAAATGTTTGTCACTTTACTCAGCCCCCACCCACATGTAACCCTACGTACATACAATATATACGCAGTCTTAAAATAATTATTTGGGTGCTGGTCTGGGTAGATCCAACCGACGAGAGCTTTGTTTCAACCTTAGGGAGAGCTACAGAACACTGTTATAATGTTTTTAAAATGAGTAATTCTAATACTCTTACTCATTATTTGGCAGTATAATCTTTTGAATTATTTGATAACTACATTTTTTGTGTAAATTTCAGTCCTACAAGATCATCAATTTTGCTCCAAGCCTACTGCAAATCATAGTTTCGGATCAGGTTGAATTCCCAGTACGTCAGGCAGGTGAGCTACCATTTTCATTATGTTTTCTTTGAGTATATAAAGTTAGTAACATTCTATAATGAAGTATGGTCTACTGTCATATTTGTGACTCTGTCCTGGCCAATGAAATGAAGCAGGTCAGTGAAGGAACCTTAATGTTTTGGTGACTCATTTTTCTGCACGGGAGTCAGATCTGGCCACAGCATGCTTGACAGTAAGGTCAAGTAAGGGTTTAGCTTTCCTATTGAATTAATATGCATTGACTTTAGAAAAGGTCAGTTGTCTTGTTTTTCGTGGCTAAAGTTGAGTGATCTGTTCTTAAGAAAACAGATGGAGCTGAAATGAAGGGGCATGTGAAAACCATGTAATCTCATTTGAATGACTGTATCACTATTTGAACTTTTCTGAGAGAGAAATTCTCTTGTAAAAAAAATACAGGTTTTGGCGAGCTGAGTATGGTGAGTCAGTGCTTCCAGGTCCTCCTTTAAATATATTCACATTTTACACATGCAATTTCTTTTTTTACAGGATCAGGCCAGAAATCATTTGTTTGTAGAATATTTGAACTAGTTTCTACAGTAGCTAGCTAACATGAACCTTTAACTGATACAGCAAGTATTTCACTTTTCCAAGAAGAAATTGATTAGTGTTTTCCCCCCTCCCCAATTCATGGCTCTGCTTCTGTTGTATGGAACAGCATTCCCCATAGAAACATTGGGGTTTTGTTTTTTTTGCACAGATCCTGTTAATCCCCTGAGGGCATGGGGACATGCTGACATATGCTGTTCGTCATGCTGGCCTGTATATTATCATAGATAATCCAACTGTGAATGCCATTGTTGGGACCGTGCTAGGGTAAAGGGACATACTTAATCTGGGATCCATAAGGTTATTTTAATAAAGTAACCTCTCTGTTCATTCAGAACAAAACTACTGCATTTACAAAAATGCGAGATGAGGTTATGGAGGGGAAAAGCTCCTTGTCTTACATTCAAATACAAGGAAACCTCATTAAATACATTGTCTATTGTTAAATTGCTGCCAAAAGCAGCATATGCTCATCAATGGAAAGCAAGTTGATTAAATGCAGCCAACACCAAGTATGACAATAAAACACGTGACCTATATGGCCTTAAATGCCTAGCAAATGTCACCAAACAGGGCTGCAAACAGTTTCCCCAGAATCCCTCTGTTGCCTCCTTTCTCAGCCTGGCACATGTGATTAGTATGGCTCCATCCTCCATGAGATGGAGCCAAACCAGGTTCCTCTACATCTCATCTGCATATAAGTTTTTGGAGGATCATAGAACGCATGATCAGACCCAGTTCCATAATTAGCACATGGATCTTTTGTGGGAGATATTTGGAGTACACACACACACTGGGCAGTGCTGAGCTGTGGAGTCACCTTAGCTTGAAATGCTGTTGACTCTGCTGGGGCCCAGCCCAAAGAACTGTATGCTAAATCACGAGCCTTGTGGGGCCTAAGATCAAGTGAGCCGGGGGCATGTGAACCCCAACGCCTTCAGGCCTGGGGCTTGCATGTAGGATGCCTGCCTGGATTTGGGGTATATCCAAAGCCCCAGACCTATGGATTTGGGGGGGAGCATACTTGCCCAATGATAAAGTCACATAGACTTGATGATTGAGTTCTGCTCAGTCGAATTTTGGAACTTGACTAATGGGCTTTGCCCAACTGAATTTGGAACTGAGTTGGTTTGTACCGTATGCAAATAAGTACTAGAGGTTATCAGTTGCATGTCGGATTGGCACCAATAAACGGAAAATGAACATTATTGGCCATTGGCTTTTTTTGGCTGGTATTACCAATATTGTCACCAATAAATGCTGTGTGCAGCTGCCATGCACATGGCCAGGAATGCAGCCAGGCAGCTTGGAGATCAGGTAAGTCTGTGAGGGGAAAGGGGTGTCAGGAGGGAGAGGGGTGCATGGGGCGGATTTGTGCATGGGGCGAGGGCAGGCTGTCCTTTGTGGGTTTGGGGCCAGGGGCAGTGCTGGCCTCTTCCTAGTGGGGGAGCTGGGTCAGGCCAGGATGTGGGATGGGCTCAGCTGTGAGGGGTGGGAAGTGGTAGCGGTGCTGGGAGTGGTGGCTATGTGGAGGTTACAGGGAATTTTGGGGTGGCTATAGCCCCCCCGTACTCCCCCCCCTTCCCCAGCACTGCCCCTGCTTGGGGCACTCCGCTCTGCTGCCTTTCCCTTGGGAGCCCTGCACTACAGAATGGGCAGAGGACATGTGGCTAGCGCAGGGCTCCTGAGGGAAAGGCAGCAGAGTGAAGTGTCCCGAGCAGGGGCGGCGCTAAGGAGGAACTTGGAGGGCTGTGACCACCCCAAAATTCCCTGTAGTTCCCCCCCCCCCCCCCACCCCCCCCCCGCCCC